TGAATGTCCTTGGTGAAGCAGTAAAAATTATTAATTTTATTAAAGCTTGATTCCCGAGTTCGTGTCTTAAAAAAAAAAAAAACAAATGGAAGTACATTTAAAGCTCTTTTGCTGCATACCAAAGAACAGAGGCTGTCTTTTTTTGTTTTGTTTTGTTTTTAAGATTTTATTTATTTATTTGACAGAGAGAGTTAGCGAGAGCAGGAACACAAGTAGGGGGAGTGGGAGAGGGAGAGGCAGGCTTCCCGCCGAGCGGGGAGCCCGATGAGGGGCTCGATCCCAGGACCCTGGGATCATGACCTGAGCTGAAGGCAGACGCTTAACGACTGAGCCACCCAGGCGCCCCAGAACAGAGGCTGTCTTGAGGAAAAACATTTTTATGACTGTTTGAGTTGCAGGCTAAACCAGCCACTTTTTCCGCAGAACACCATGTGTACTTGAAAGAACAAGTGACCAATAATATTAACCAAGCTATCTGGCAAACTACTAAGTCCACAAATGAACTAAAAGTGAGCCAGCCTGTTACTTCTAAGAAAACAGCTGATCATATCTGTTGTCAAAGATAAAATCTGAGCTTTCGAACAAAAGTGAGAATTGCAGCAGACTTGATGTGCCACCATGACCTTCAGTTTCTCAACACTCAAAGACTTTTCTGATGAGATGCATGGTGATGTTAACAAATGTGACTTTTTGCATCAGGACGTATGTCATCATTGGGAAGATCAGCATCACTCAGGTGATGCATCATCACTCAAGTGATCGCTGATAGATGCTGAAAAATCATGTGTGGTACAGTATCCATTCCAAGTGCAAATGAGACCAATGGCTTTGTCCACTGTTAACAGAGCACAAAACCCTCACTGGATCAAGTGTGAGATACCACACGGCAGCAGATCTCTAAGAGACTACCATTTGGTGAATTTTAGGATGCCAACAAAGAAAAATACCCAGTAGCGACAAATCACAGTAGCCTGAAGATATGAGAATTTAGCGGTCTTCTGTAAAGTCAGACATTGAAAAATTTTTGCAAATATGTAAAACAATGCTCTCCTCACTCGAATCTTTTTGTTTGGGAAAATATTTTTCATTAAAGTTTTTAAAATTTATGTTAATGTGTAATGGGTTTATTGCTGTTGTTTCAAAATAAATTACTGAGGATTTAAATTGGTTTTTGGTGTTAATTTCTGGAACAGTAAACACCTAGAGAACTAAACCACATAAACAAGAACTCTTTGGGTCCTCAGTCTTGTAAGAGTGTAAAGTGGTCTGGAGACCAGACAGATGGAGAAATGCTGTCTTAAAAAAATAAACAGATTTACGAACACAGATCTTTAGGGGAGTGCTATATAACAGCAAAACCAAAAAAGAAAAAAGTGGAAACAACTTAAGTGTCCAATAATCAGAAAGTGGCTAAATAAATTACGGTGCCTCCATTTGCTAGAACATTAAGTAGTTATTAAAAATTATGTTTTCAGAGAGCATTTATTGTGAGAAAATGCTCAACATACTCGTCACGCCATTAAAAAAGGGGCAGAAGCAAATGTTCACGATCATGTTTCTGTAATGCCTTGATTCGCGGGGAGAATCAGGGGAGCTGAGGGGGGGCTGAAGAAATCGACAGACCCCCCCCACAGGGGTCCCATGGGCTATAAGCTCCCCACCACGTGTAAGGCTGGAGGGGGGCTCCGTTACGTATAAACACACATGACACCTTTCTTTCTTGAACAATCCTTCCAAACTTCTGGCTTTACATTCAAGACGAGACCCAACTCTTAAACCTAACATTCTAGACTCACCCCCGAAGAAACAGAAGAATCTTCTACACCCTGTTCTCCCCAAACGTGATTCTTGTCTGTGCTTTGACATTGGAACCCGGGGTTGATGTTCCCTGGTATCTGCCTGAGCTCCTAAGCCTCTCCCGTTGTGGAAAATTCTGGTCTCATCCAACCTCAAAGCAAAGACAGGGGCGGGTAGGTAGGGAACTGCCAGGGAGGGAGTCTTCGGGGGCTTTGCGTTTTCCTGCTGCAGGGACGCCGGCTGTTAACAAGTGTCACCCAACATCTGCTGCTTACTTGGTTTGCACATTTATTCTCATTCTCCTCATTATGGGCATATAAATTCCTTTTCATGCCCCAGCCTCCTTCTGCCCACATCTGTCTGCAATTTACTCACCACGTGCTGTGGCTGGGAGGAAGCATCTTATTTATGACTTTGTAGAAACCAGGCAGGATGCTCGGGCTGGCTGAAGATGCCCACTGCTTTTTGGGAGCACTGCTACCTTGAGCTTGGCTGGGCTCAGGGGGTCTAAGGCCTGGGCCACCCCTAATGGGAATCAGGAGACCAACATCTCCAGGCAGATCTGAGGAGGCGTGCCAAGCCCCCTCTCATCTGATAATCACTAAGTATTAGCACTAATGGCACCAGGCACTGGGCCAAGCACTTTCTATCTCATTTAATCCCGATGACAACCCCCTGAAGTAGCTACTGTTATTAGCCCCAATTATAAGAGAAACAGCTTTGTTATTGTTACCCTCAGCAAGAGGACTACGTAAGTTCAGAGAGGTTAAGGAATTTGCCCTAGGTCACACAGCTCGGAAGTCGGAGAGCCAGGATTCAAGCCCAGATCCGGCTCCAGAGCCTGCGGTCTCCATTACTGAGCTAGGATGGCCTCCCATCTCTCCCCGTTCGTGGCGGCTGAATCCCCAGAGGGAAGGAGAGGTGTGCTGTGCAGTAGACAAAGTTTCTGATTCTGCTGGTAATCAGCTCTGTAACCCTGACCGAGTTACTTAACCACGCCGAACCTCACGCAGGTGACTCCCTCTGCGAAAGGGGGTTAGTCCCGGTAGGACCGGAGTGAGTGAGAGATACGGTGCCTAGTATACAGTAGGTGCTCCATAAAGCTTTCCTACCATGAATACTGACGGGTCCTTATTGTTGAGATTGCTGTTTACAGAGGAGCCGCCCTATCCGGCAGATCTCTGTGTCCCTGGGTGACCTTTGGTGACAGATAAGGCACCTCACAGCACAGAGCTAGGAAACTATGCCTCCACAGTTCTGTGTCCTGTGGATGGAAGGGAGAAGGATGCACATCGCAACAGCCAGCTCTCTGCCCTCACGGACATCACCTCATTTAATTCACCACTACTGTCCCATCACGCAGACCAGGAAACTGAGGTGAGGAGAGGGTAGGCGGCTTGTCCCAGGAGCTGGAGAGTGGTGGAGTCCATGAGCTTCTGCTGAGCCCCCTGCCCATTCCTTTGGGCCCAAAAACAGCTTAGAGAGGTCCTGCTCCCCCTTCCAGGTCCAGAGGGGCGAATGGGGGTGAGGATTCTTTCCCTGGGTAAGGACATGGAAGGCAGGCTTCCCTGTCCCTGGAATAAATACTGGGAAAGGTGGTTGAGACGGCTTCTGAGGCAGTCCCCATTCTCCACGGGGTCATAAAGCTTAGGGAGATCAGAGGGTATCAGCTCACACAGCCCTGGGGCCTGGCGGCACTTCCTTGGGGAGATGCCCGTGGCTTGAGTCTCCATCCCGAGGGAGGAGGGGATGTCAGGAGGCCCCTGGAAGCTGGGAAGCTTGCACAGGTCTGCCTAGACTCCTGGACGGTTGCACGGAGAGGAAACGTGTGTGTGCTCGGCACGGTGACCTCCCAATCATACAGCATCAGCTGGACCACAGCATGTCCCACCCGCCCGCTCCGGCCTGAAGACACCGCTGTCTGAGTGGGCCACGCTGGAAACAAAACCCCAACAGGAAAGGGTGCCTCATGGCTGGACCAGGACACCCAGCGAGAAGCTCCATGCCCCCCGGCCCCCAGCTCTCGCCGCAGGCCAGCATGGCCTAACCACCAAGCTCTTGCCAGAGGGAATCTTTGGCTCTCAATTTTGGCTCTTTCCCTAGGTGTCCCCCAGGCCGAGGGGAGCAGAGATGCCCACCAGCCTGAAATGCTCCTCCTGATGGTGACAGGAGACAGAGACAACTTCTTTAAGCCGCCGCTCTGTTCTGAAGTCTCTTTCCGATAGCAGCCTGAAATCAACCTAAGTAAGAAAGCTGCTTTGGCTTCTGAAACGAAGCTTCCAGAATATTTATCATTCTAGGAAATGTAAGTGGAAAGCAGGTTGCCAAGTTTTATTGCCTTTTTCTTTTCCCCAGGAGTATTGAAGGCAGTAAGGGGACCTCAAGAGAATGTTTTGTGTCAGAGTTCTCTGAGCACGGTTAAAGGAGAGCTCCCCCAACCTTTCTTGAATCATCTTTTGAGACCCCTCCCAAAGCGTGTGGGTAGGTGACTCCCAGGAGAGATGCGTATGTCGGCCACCGGTGGCCCAGGCCAGCTCTAAGGAAGGCCGGCTGCACACGTGGGCCCACCTGTTGCGTTTCCTCCAGCAGCTTCTGGCGGCAGACACACCGGCTACGTGGAGGTTACGGGTGGTCCAGCTCCGCGAGAGAGCACCTGGGCACCCACACCGCTTCCTCCCCCACCTTCTCGGAGGGGACACTGGACACTGCACTTCCCAGAGGGGAGCTCCTCCAGGCCAACCATAGGAGAGGGGGCCCAAGCCCCCTGCCCCCGGAGACCACCGCAATGAACAGGAGTGGCGTGTGTGGACGGAGGTGTCCTCCCGCAGAGAATTCAGCGCCTCCACACTGTCCCGTGATGGGAGGCGCTCAAGGACCTTGACGGTGTCGGGTCAGCAGCCTGGTTTAGTAGAGATGCCACCTGCCATTCATGCCTCAGAGGGAGGCGACCCCGCGTGACCACGACAGAAAATGTGTTGGTCACAGGGACGCGGGAACGATAGGAGCCTCCAACACTGCAAGAGGCAGAATTCTACTGAAAAAAGGACAGGGCAGCCTCAGCTGGGGGTCTAGGCACCGGGAGACCCCCACGTGCATGCCACTCCCTCTGCAGAGGCAGGACCCTGGTTTCGCAGTGCCCCTGTGGCCCAAGCCTGAGCCCCAGGCAAGGGCAGGTAGGAAAGTGCCACCAACCAGTCACTTACCCTGCAAGGCTTCTTTGGCTCTGGCTAACTCCTGCTCCTTCTGGGCCAGCTGGACCCTGAGCTCGGTGGCTGAGAGGACCTCGGATGACTTGCCGCCCTGGGACTCCTCCAGGTCCTTCGTCAACATCTCCTTCATCTGGCGGAGAAGGTGGACTTCCTCCTGGAGTCGAGACACTTCTTCCCGCAGGAGCACTAGGGGAGAAGGGCACACGGTTAGAGGAAGGGGACGCGGCTCCTGCATGCTCAGTTTTTCTGGGGACCGCTCCAAGGTGCTTTGGCTTTTCCTGTTTGCTCTGCATTCGAGGCCTTTCCTACATGTGTGCTGGGAAGAAAACTCCCAGAGCCACTAACCTTATTCCAAGAGCCCCCCCTCCAGGCTGCAGAGCACGCCTGGTGGGACCCCCCACCCCCACCACATTCTCTGTTACAGCTGTCACTGCATCAAGAGTGTCCATTCCAACGGCCGACATCATCTCGCCTCCGATGGGCAGGGATAAGCGTGAGCACGAAGAGCTGACAGCAGGCGGTGTTCTAGCCACGAGCCTGTAGGATGCCGAGTTGGGCTTTAGATGCATTACCCCATTTAATCCTGCAAAAACCTCCTAAGGCAGCTACCGCCATCACCCCCATTTCACAGATTAGAAGTTGAGGCGGGTAGCAGAGCTGGGATTTGAACCCAGACTTGGCCAACTCCATAGCCCGAGCTCCCAGTCTGACACTCAGGAAATAGTCCCCAAAAGGCACACTCGACATGTATATGAAACACAGAGCCTTGAGGAACCCAGCACTGTGCAGAGACAGGACTTGGGCATCCACACCTGAACACCCAGGAGAATGGGGTCAAGTGAACAGTAACAATGGTGACACCATGGACAGAGGTTTCCATGACACTTAAACCCAACCCTATACTCCTGAGGGCCCAGGGAGGAGGTCGAGGAGGATACAGCCTCCCTTAGGGCTAGGGGCCTTGGGAAGGTACCCAGATGATGCACCATCTCTCCCCACCCCCCAGGAATCTGCAGGCCAGCTCAGTCCTGCAGGTCAGCTGATACACCTGCACCCAGGTCTGCTCACCTGAGCAACGAGAGATACCGAGCTGTGGAAGGTGCTGGAGGTGGGAGGTCAAGCAGCCTCATTAGGCCAGATATACCTCTGCCAGACCCTTTATGAGAGCAAACTCGTGGTCACGATGCTCACCTCATTGGTTAAAGGAGATTCTGACTTATTTGTTGAGGCAGGCCCTCGACAATACAGTCTCTGCTTCATCGCTGAACTCCTGCATTTCTCTCCCTCCCGCCACTTTGGTCCTTCTCTTCGCAACATGCCAAGCTCTTCCTGGCCTCAGGGCCTTTGCCCCCGCAGTGCCCGCCACCTCAAACACCCTTCCCTTGTTCTTCCTGCAGCTGCTTCCTCATCGGGCCCTTCATCCCACGCCACCTCCTCAGAGAGGCCTTCTCTCACCGCCATGTCCCATCCTGCCACGGGAGCCGGGGTGCAGTCCTTGCCTGCGGGGATCACGGCTGTGCCACAGCTTTACAGACACTGGGTCTCTGGTTTGGTTCCCTCGCTGACCAGGCATGTGGCTGCGAGCAAGTCCCCTCCCCTTCAAGCCTCAGATGCCCCCAAAGGGGTCCAACCCTCACCGGACCGTGAGGTTCCAACAAGCCGTCAGACGGGCCTGGTCCGGGATGTCCTCAAGGTACACAGGAAGCGCTCAGTACCGGCGAGGTGGGCACCGCTTCCCTGCACACCTTACGCTCTGTCGGCGCCTGGTGTTCTAGAACACCCCGCCCTGCACTCCTCAAGGCAAGCAAGGCAGAGTCAGGTCCAGGGCGCGGGGCAGGCCGAGGGGAAGCAGAGCTAAGGCCTCAAGGACTCTGACCCGTCCCTCATGCCCCTCTTATCACCTTCTCGGAGGCCTCCCGGGTTCAGTTGCCATGTGTACGAGGGGAGGTGTTCCTGCCCTCCCAGCGCCTCCTTCGCCCACCTCCAGTCTCCCCACAGAAGCCCGAGGGCCCGCTTGAAATGCCAAGCTCAGTACCTCACTCCCTGCTGAAAACCCTCCCGGGCCACAGTCCCAGAGCCACCAGGCAGCAGCCTCCCCGGCCCTCTCTGACCTCCCTCGGGCCACCTTTCCGCCCCGAAGGTGTAGACGCATCCTGCCTCCGGGCCACCAGGAGCTTCCTCCCCTCCTCACAGGTCCCTTCCTGTCAGTCGGTCCCAGCACCACTGTTACCCCCTCAAGAGACCTAAAGCAGCCCCCACCTGGCAACCTGAGCAAAACTCTTATGACCGTGGGAGGCCCACCTGTTTACCGCATCTGCGTGCCCAGCGGGCGCACCTCCCTGCAAGCAGGCCTGGCTACACGGTTCCGTCCCACTTGCTGTGGGGTCCGAGGTGCCCTGAACAGTATGTGATGACACACGGACAGTTGAGTTGACTCCCTCAACACATCTCTCCAGCCAACAAGTGTTGATGGGCATTCGCCCCACGGCAGACACCCCTCCAGGCACTGGGGACCCTTGGGTGAATGTCGCAGACAGGTCCTGTCTTCTGGCTGGCACACTCCCAGACCCCACATGACCATGGGCCGAAGGACCCCAACGCCGCGTGCTGGGAAGGTACGCCATCTGCAAGAGAGAGCCTAGCTGCTCTGACATCGAGGAGCTCATGTACAGGCTGGGCACTGCCAGAGTCTCTCAGCAAAACCGGAAAGCAGGAGGTTGACTGTGGCCGCTCGCCCCCCACTCCAGTCAAACATTTGCAGGCTGCCTGCACTGCAGGCCCAGTGGAGGCTGTCCAGAAAGGAGAAGGGAACACTCTTGGCCTCAAGAAGTCTCTGGTGAGTATAAGCAGCACATACGAGTAAGCACAACACTGGGACAGGGCTACATGGGCTTGGGGGCACAAGGACATTTGAAATGGGCCTTGGAAGATGCAGGGGGTGGTAAGCAGATGAGCGGGAGCAAAGGTCAGGAGGCTAGAAAACCAGAGGTGCCTGGATGAATGGGTATGAGGTGAGGAAGCCTGCAGAAGTGTGCCAGGGTCAGATTACAAAAGGTCTTAATCCTGACCACCTCTCTATGACCCCAGCCCTGCCTGGCCATCTCTAGCAGTACTGAAGACTCTGAAATTGTCATTCTTGCCCCCTGCCATAGACTGAATGTTTATGTCCCCCCCGAATTCATGTGTGATGGTATTAGCAGGTGCAGTCTCTGGGAGGTGATGAGGTCATGAGGGTGGAGCCCTCATTGAGTGGGATTAGTGCCCTGATAAAAGAGACCCCAGAGAGCTTCCTTGTCCCTTCTATCACACGAAGACACAGCAAAAAGACGGCTGTCTATAAACCAGGAAGAGGGTCTTCACCAGACACTAAATCCAGTGCCTGGATCTCGGACTTTCAGCCTCCAGAACTTCGAGGAACACATGTCTGTAGTTTATGAGCTGCTCAGTCTATTGCATTTTTGTTAGGAGCCAGAATAGACTGATCCACTCTCTTTCATCAATTCTCCCCAGGGTCTGTCCCCACTCAACTGTCACGAGAAGTCTATTTCACAACAAGGTATGAGTGACTGCTAATGTACCCTCACTTCTATTTCCATTATCATACAGCTGGAGACTAGTTTGTTTTTATTCGTTTGTTTAGGGACGTGACTTCTGGCCTTCCTTAAACTGCCCTGAAGGAGCCAGTAAGGTTGTCTACTATGTTTACGCAGATGGCAGAGAATTTCAAGACATGCGGCTTCGAATCCAGTCCCGGCCAGGGCCTGGCTGTGACGTGAGCGAGCCCCATCAGCTCTCTGGGTCTCAGGTATCACATACGCTACACGGGGATCATGCCACCTGTTGAGGGCTGCCAGAGTTAGGAAAAAAAAAAAAGCAAAGGCCGCCCCCCCACCCCGCCCCCAGATGCACAGTTAAATTTGAATTTCAGATAAGCAAATATTCTTTAGGATAAGTGTGTCCTAGATATTACACGGGACATAAACTAAAATGTATTCGTTGCTTATCTGAAATTCAAATGTAACCGGGCGTGCTGTGTTTCATCCAGCAACACTACTCCCATCCCACGGGGATTCTGGCACCATGATACGGGACAGTCACGAGAAAGGGCTTTCTTTGCCAGAGCACCTCAGAAGAGGGAGGTGGTCAAGGCAAAGAAGAATGTGGCACAGCTTTCTCTGCACCCCAGCATTATGATGAGAGCAGAGCGCACGATGGGGTCGGGTGCCCCTGTCCTTGGCTAACTGTGGCAAAGGCGGCTTTTTCCTGCGCTCACCTTTCTAACAGGTGTACCTGGCACCTGGGCCCCGCCCCTCGCGCCAGGCCCCAAAGCAGCAGGAGGGCGGGATGGGCGGTGCGGCACCTGCAGGAGCCAACTCTTAGGAGACCAGGCTGGAAAAACAACTTTATGGAGAGACAGAGAGGCTTGTCTGAGCTTACTAACTGCACCTGCCCTGGCTGGGTGTGTAAACTCAGGTCTCGCACACCCTGGGTCCTTCCAGAGGCAGAGACTCGGGACAACCCGGGGACGGCAGTCTCTTGTGAGAGAGACTCACAAGACCGCAGCCTGTGTTTGGGCTCTGGGACGGCAGGCAGGCACTTCCCCTCCCCTGTAAAATGGGGGTGAAGAGAATAAAGGAGACGGACGTGTAATACACTTACACGTGCCCGGCAGTGAGCATCCTGTGTGCGGGCCACAGGACCCACAACGCCCCTTCCCCTCCAGTGAAGACGCTGGAGTTGGAAGATCTGGGCTTGTGCCTCAGGGGAACTGCTATGTGCTGTGTGACCTTGGGCCAGTCGGTGTTCCTCTCTGGGCCTTCCAACTCTTCATGAATCTGGAGGACTGCTACTGATTGTGCATTTCTTCCCTAGTCTACAAACGCTGCGTGCTCAGGAAGGCAGCGGCTGGTCACACGTGGTTATTTAAGTGTAAATTAATTAAAACGAACAGCCCAGTTCCTCGGTTACCCTGGCCATGTTTCAAGTGCCTGTGGATCGCCAGTGGCCAGTGGATGTGGAGACCACTCCCACCATTGTACAGAGTTCTCCTGCTCAGTGTTGGTCTGCAGGGCACAGGACACAGAAAGAAAAGGGAAGAAGTGGTGTTTATTAAGCACCTGGTACAGCGCAGGCCCACAGACACCCCGACAGAAGGAGCCTTTTGCCAACCGCCGGAGAGCTGCTGA